GATACATTTCCTCGTTATATTATTATTGTATTATATGGTGATAGCCCCACAAGTGAAACCAAAGGAAACAAATTATGTATAATCTTGTTATGATATAAATAATACATTAAACTCCTTATTTACAATCCCATAATCCCTTAATTTTGGGTTGAGTTGTGGTGACTGAAGCTGAGCATTTACTGGCCGGATGTCCTTCCTGATGTCACACGGACTTCACAGCAGATTTTTTAAATTTGTGCTCTAGAAGAGAAATGTCAGCGGCTACCTATGATTGAACTCTCAACCTTCCGAGTGAGAGGCAAGCATCTTCAACACTAGGCCAACATACTGCTCCTATATAAATAATACATATTTTGCAAAAATCTTCTTAGCTTTTGAGCTAAAATCAGCTTTCTATTATGCACCTGGAGGTAGGCATATGACAATTGATTAGATCTAAATGTGGCTTTGCTTTTGGATCTCATTCAGGCACATCTTTTTGTTTCTCATTCAAACCAGCCAGCCTTTTTCAAGCTCCTCTGTAAACTTCAACAAAATGAAGTTGTATTTTATAAGATACACAAGTTAATCCAACCTTACTTTTCATTGCCCAAAACATCTTTTGATGAAACCAGGGACTTGAAACTATGGATAGACATATAAAGTGTACGCGAAACTATAGGTAGTCCTCAACTTATAACCAGTTGCATAGTGACCATTCAAAGTTATGACAGAGCTTAGCAGAAGTAGTTATAACGCTATTCCAAGTTCTGACAGCTGATCCCTGGTCACATGGCCACATTTTGGGCTCTTGGAATTTATGGCTGTTTGCAGCATCCTGCAGTCATGTGACCACATTTCATGATGTTTTTGCCAAAACCTGGCATTTGCTTCTGGTTTTCAGCAAAACCAGCCCAGCCCATAATGAACAATTGGCTTGCTTAATGACCATAGTGTTAGCTTTACAACTGGTATATTTGCTAAAGGCCACCCTCCCCCCCAAAAGTAAAATCAGTCAGTCACCTGACCACTTTACAATAACCACCACAATTTATCATAATGAGCAGGCTCTATTACAGTCATAAGTCAAGGGCTACCTTTATGGATAGACCTAAATGCACTGATACTCTAAAATGTTAAAATATTGATAAATGGAATATTAAAATGACAGGGATCTAAAGATCAATTATTATTCTGTATAACACTGTTCAACAAGGCATTGAATGTTAGAGCCTGTTTCACCTTCATTTTCATCATAACAGCAGTACCCTCAAAAGCAAAATTAATTATACTAGCCTGGGGAAGAGGCAATGTTTAATATTTTTATTAGACCAATGTATAGAATGTCTTAAACTCAACCACTGGCACTTTCTTCTCCTTATTTGCATTCTGTATATAAAACCTAGATTACCTGTAACTTATAGCTTCTAGGTTTACGATATAGGAGGCAGTCTGATATTAATAAATAACCATTTACACCCATGAACCGTTCCAGTTCTTTCACTGTCACCACTCCCTGATTACCATATTCTCCTGGTTAGGCCAAGGGAACCCTTGCTCTTAGCATATCAAAGAGCAATAAGCAGTACTGAAGATAAAACATCAAGGATGAAACTTGCAAGATAGGAATCTGTGGGATCAGATCACAGAATTTACTACATATTGAGAATAGGTGGAGTTTATTTATCTGTAAATAAAAGGCAGCACCTATGGATTGGGGGGTGGAATTCCTACAAGGCAGGATTGAATACAGGAAAAGAGGCTAACTTCTTATCATCTCTATACTCCTGGGATCAAATAATGTCTACCAATTATGTACTGGAAAGCTTTCTTCAAGAAAACTAGCTACTTTAATTAGCAATCCTCAGTTGCTAATTCAACTCCGAAAGAATGCCCTTTACCCCACCTTCTGTACCTGATTCCCAGAAAGAGGGCCCTCCAGCCTCGCACTTCCTTAGGCCCAACCATGTTTTTCAGTACATGAGCTAATATTGCCTCAGTATGGATCACAATGCAGCAAGAGTTTGGGGAATTCCCATAATATATCCCCATCACACTTTCCTTTCAAGGTTAGCAGGGTCAGCCCACAGGAAAAAAGAGTAAGAAAATAAAAGTATGAGTAATAAAATCAACAGTAAGAACAATAAGCTTTATAGGCTTTTCGGCACTGTAGCCATCAGCTGCTAGCCTCCCATGTGTAAACTGGCTGGAAATAAAGCCAGTTTAAGAAATCCTTTCCCAAATTTCATCCTCAACCTCCTCTAGAAATTATGATTTAAGGTGAAAATATATATAGCAATGGGTGGAGGGAGGGTGAGGACAAGAAGACCATCAGCTGAGTTGGAAAGAGTATGAACATGCATACCCAAGAGAAGAGTTCAATGTTGTAACCATCAACAGAGTGGAATCAAAGCAAAGTAAAGGCTGTAGATCAGCAACCCCATAGGAAGTATTTCTCGTCCTAATTGGAAGTAACTAGCTACAACCTTTTTTGAAGATCACCAGGAGAATATGTCATAAGAATATAATATCTAGCCAGTTCAATCACATCAGAAACTTCCTTATACTAGGTCTATCTACTAGCCAAAGCCTTAAGCCTCTTTATGTAATTTCTTACAAAGATTTTGCTGGGTTTGAAAAGAATAAAAAGGTAGAGTAAACCTTTTTTTTTTTTTAACTCTTTGCCAACAGTGTTCCTAGGAGGTGGTTCCATTTTCTGCTGTGGAGTGAGCTACCATGTTGCACTTCTGTGTAGCTGTTTCAGCAAGGACTCTGAGGAACAAAGCAGGTTATATACCTCCTCTCTGGATCACATGACTGAGAGGGAGGGGCATTTAGAATGGAGCAATCAGCAACATTCCGAGTCACTGCTCAACTGCCTCACTGACAGGAATGCACTAAGACAGACATGTCAAACACATGGCCTGGGGGCCGGATGCGGCCCGCAAAGTGGTTTCATGTGGCCCGCGAAGCCATCCTGGAAACAGTGAGGGAACGGCCCCCGCTGCCTTGGCCCCCGGCCCAGGCTGGCCGGGAGCCAATGTACAATTTTGTGGTGGCCATCTATGCTGAAACGCATTCAGTCTTAGCTCCACAAGGCCGTCTGGAAACAGCGAGGAACCAGCACCTGCCGTGTCGGCCCCACCCCCTGGGTGCATGCTGGGGAGGTGTCACTCTTTGTGAGGAATGAAGAAATGCACCATCGCCTGGAAGTGGGCAGCAAATGGCCCTCGCCTACTTCACATATCCAGCTTGATGGGCTCCGGGGGAGGGGTTTTGGCAGGCAGTGGGGCGCTCTCCTCACAGCGCCGAGAGGCTGAGCTGGGTGGACCATGCCTTGGCACTTGCCCTGGTCCCACCCCCTTCTGCCACAGACCCTCAGATCTGTCCCACTCCTGCCCAGGACCCCACAGGCACCCTTGACGCAAACGATGTAGAGCTGGCCATGCCCACCTAATAGGCCACACCCACTCCATCCACGCCCACCCAGTAGGCCACACCCACCCTGGCCAAAACCCCCCGGCCCCCCCGAGGGCAACCGCAATGCTGATGCGGCCCTCAATGAAATTGAGTTTGACACCCGTGCACTAAGATAATTTTTTCTGGAATATTTTTCTCCAGATCTGGACCATTTTGAACTCAATCTTTCTTTCTATGGCTCCCCCTTCCCAATGAAATTTCATCCTGTTTAGTTTACTTTACAAAGACTTCTTCTGGCGACAGACACACAGACAGATGGAGTGAGTCCATTTCAAGCCCCCTCACAGGAAACACGGTTTTCTTGGACTAAGTACTGTATGTTTACATTATTATTACTTCTTCTTGTTGGTCTGTGGTGGTCCCAGGGATTCTGCTTTTCGACATTTTGTGAGAGAGATTCAGTACTGAATGTGTGCAAAGCAATATCCACCCAACAGGTGACAGTTCAAAAGTTCAGCTCCTTGAAGTTTGTTTATCCTGCCTGGAGAGAGACGTGCAATGATATCTGTACTGGGAAGAGTATAACTATAAAGGCAGGCAGAAAAAGAGGACAAAACTGGGGAAAGCTACAGGAAATGAACAAGAAGACCTCTCAAATGCTGACACTGGTAGAAAAAAGAGGCAAATAAGGAATCCAGTGATGGAAAATCACCAACTGATAGCAACTGGAGCTCACTGAACAGATGACAAGATTTGTTGTGAAGTTACTAGCTCAAAAAGCTGTTTTTTTCAATGACTTTTGATAGTTCTTATTGAATCTAATGATCCGCTTCACGCATATCGTTGAATCGTGGACCACGGTTAATGACCTATAACAATCTGGATCAAATATATTAAGCCACAAGCCACATTAAGGGTTCCTCCAAAGCTTCTCCCAAAGGAGAATGATCAAAACCAGCCAGATGGTGGGAACTGGATCACAACCCAAGCATTGCCTGTTTTGTATGTGCACAGAACAGGGATATGGAGCTTGGATCACAACACTGCACCCATCATATTGCATTTTGATTTCCTCTCCCCCTCCCCGCTCCCATGCCACCGAGTGGCAAAGCATAAATTAAACTGGTTCTAATCCATAACGTGGCTTGGCTTCGGCTTTAACACATCGCACGAAGCCAGCTATTGTGGCTTGTTTTAAAACATGATTTAGGACAATTCGCTGGGTAACTCTGTCAAACGGTAGATTGCTCAGTAAACCGTGGCATAACACGAGGCATTGATTCGGTGCGTTTAAATGGGCGGCCCACTGACATTTGGGAAGAAGCGACCCCGAAGTAACGAGAGCGATTGCGAGGGTGCGCCTGGACCGAAGACAACCGAAGGCAACCTTGAGTTTGTCGGGTTTTCATCCCGAGCGTCTGAAGAGGTGGGGGCGTGGGGAACGGATCTGCTGTTCCGGGAACAGCGCCGGATCCTCACCCGTAGTAGCAAAGAAAGTAAACGTTCCCTTGCAGCAAAAAGAAAGCAGACCCGTGTTCGGACAGAAGCGGAACGCCTCCTACCCGAGAACTGAACGTGGGGAAGGGGCGTGGCCTGGGTCGCCGTCTGAGCGACTTTCGCTGACACTTAAGCCGGAGTTGCGGCCTCCCGCCGTCGCCCTCGAGGGGCTCGGTCGGTCTGTTTTCTGCCGGGCGGGGAAGAAGCGGCGAGTTAACTGCGGGATCTTCGAAGTTCCCAAGACAGGGGCGCCCTCAGCCCGGCTTCTCCCGGGGCGCTTCCCGAGCATGGGCGGGCAGTGCTGCTGCTGCTGCTTATCCGAAGAGGAGAAAGTGAACAGGCTCCTGAGGCTGGAGATCGAGCGGCGGCTGCGCCGAGACAAGCAGCATTCCAGCAAGGAGCTGAAGCTGCTGCTGTTGGGTGAGCCGTCCGTCCCGTCTGTCCTGCCTGGGTTTGGGCTTGCCTTAGGGTGGGGGTCAGGCCCTCAGGAGGCGCAGCCTTGGGGACCCGCTTCAGTCGCGATCTGGGGACAGACCAAGAACCTGCCAAGGGCAGGAGCAGAAACCGTTGGCTCCCCCACGCCCAGATCGCAGGATTTAGGGCAGGATCCCCCAAATGCTTAAGGAAGAGGTTCTGTCTAAGAGTTGCTAGTTTTATTTTGCCATGGCATTTCAACCTGATAGTTGTGGCCGAGATTTGTAAATGTGCTTATTCCTAATTTAAAATGTTTATTTTAAATAAAATTACTAGTAAATTAGATCATATATTCCCAATTTTAGGGGCAGAACTGGAGACCAAGGTGCAGATGTTTCTAGGGAACTTAAGACTATTTCCAACCTTACTTTACTGAGATACAGACAGACAGCCGAATACAGGAAGTTTATTCAGAAATTGTTTGGGAGGGGCAGCAACTGGCTTCTTATCTAGAACAGGTGAGTAATGCTATAGTCTGTTGAGTAGACTTTGAAGTCCAGTTTACATTACATGAAAGTAATGGAATGTGGGCAGGATGTATGTACATAATTGCAGTATGATTTCTTTGCCACGTTTGCACAATTTATTCTTCTGCTGTTACTGGATGCTTTACTGCAGCTTATCACGAAGATTCGGGCTTCTGGGTGGAGGTTACCTCTATTGTGGTGCAAGAACACCAACACTTCTACTTGTTCCTATGTAGCATGAGCCAGTATTCAGTCTGGACCTGGACACTGCACTCAGTTCAGCCATGAAACTCACAGTGTGACTTTGGCAAGCCACTACTGAGATAAAGGTTGTTACCATATGATGATAGCCTGGAGTGGGAGAGAATTATTTTGGGGATGGTTCAGCCAGCATGCAGTTAATAATGATCATCTGCCTTGATTCTGCAGCCCCTTGGAATTTGCTAAACCATTAGATTAATGTGAGAAAACTAAAAGCAGCCCAGAGGAAGGAAGCCCACACACAATAGTAACACCAGGCTGCACTTTTTGCTAAGCTTACATCTTGGTTCTCTGCATGGTGTTTTTTAAAGGAATTTTTTAAATAGAAGCTATGAGGGAATAAAGTTCTTATTGTGGTCCCAATGAAAATAATCACCTTCAAGCCACCGACCCACCTCGCCTCTTTCCTACTGCCTTCTTTAAGTGTGGGATTCCAGAAGCCGAACATCCAGCCTATGAAGTATTCCTGATGTCTGTGATCTAGTCTGTATCCATCCATTCTTGACCCAGAAGAAATTGTGCCAGCCTGACATTTGCTGGCCTCGTTGCTGGTTGTTATCCCAATTTTATTGTCTCTGTTTCTGATCACTGTCAGGCATCTGACTTTCCTCCACAGTAAGGGGTGACGATGCTTAAGAGATTTTATGCACATCCAGGTTGTTCTTGGGTAGTCTTGGAATAAATAAGCTTTAACACTGGTATAATTAATAACTTCACTGATAGTCTAAGGATGAAGTGAAAGCAATGATTTGGGATCATTGCTCTACGTGCAAGTAGAGAAGCAGCCTGTGTCTTCATCAAGCCATCATTTTTGGATGATCCTCCTAGCAACAAGGCATTCTTTTTTCTGACAAGCCATTTTACTGCCAAATCCTAAACCATAAAAAGCAAAGGGCCAAAAAAAGTCTGTCTCTCTGCTGATCTCCCTACTACTCTATGCATCATGCAAACTCAGCAGCTAAAATATAGCAAGGAAAGGAAAAGATTCTTCCATCTATTCTCTTCCAACTAGCCAATATTGTTTCCTTTCATCATTTTTAGGTGCACAGAATGCCCAGAGACATTCCAGGGAAAGGACATTAGCAAATAGGTGGGAGCTACTTGTCCAAAATATCTTAAATGGTCATTAAGGACGGGAAGTAGTTCAGGTGAAAGAGAAATGTATTTTGAGGCATTACAGGTAGTCATCGATTTACAACCATTTGTTCAAAGTTATAACAGCCCTGAAAAAGGTGACCTACGAACAGTTTTCACACTTGAGACCACTGCAACATCATTATGATCACATGATCAAAATTTGGGCACTTGGCAACTGGCATATATTTATGACAGTTGTATTATCCGGGATCATGTGATCACCATTTGTAACCTTCCCAGCCAGCTTCCAACAAGGAAAGTCAATGGGAGAAGCCAGATCCTCTTCTTAACGATCACATGATTCGTTTAACTACTGCAGTGAATCACTTAACAGTTGTGGCAATAAAAGGTTATAAAATGGGGCACAAGTCACTTAACAATTGTTTTGCTTAGCAATGGAAATGTTGTGGCTGTAAGTTGAGGACTACCTATATAGAGAAGAAAAAAATGGGTATTGACCTTGCTGAGTCAGATAGGCCAATGTATGACATGGAATAAAAAAACTTCTCTATATTCTAATTAAAATTTCAAATGACATCTTGGAACTAGGGAGGAAAAATTGTAGTAGGAGAGTTGTGAACCATTTTTCCAAAACATGTTTATGTTTAGATAAACACAATAATAAAATAGCAGTAGCCATATTTTTTCTTGCTCGTATGATAAATGGAGATATCATTTATCCATTTAGTGTGTTTCAAAAAGCTTTTATAGTACTGATGAGAGTGCTTGAAAAAAAGGGGTAAAACCCATGGTGAAGCCTTAGCTTTTTTCATACAATAACATCTTTTATCAGTGAATTTTTTGGAACATGTATTTCTGTTCTAAATATCAAATAAAGCAGATTCATTTTATCTCCCAACTCAGTTATTGCTGTTACCATTTATGACTAGCACAAGCAACACAATTTTAAAATAACTGAAAATCGAGGATAGTGATTTGAATCAGCATAGGTAAAATAGTTGGTAATCAAAATATTGACGCAACTAAACCTCATTAAAGCCAGTAAAGTATTGTATCCTGCTTTCAAAACTGCATTAGTTATGCCTGAACCTCATTTGTGGTTAATTATTTGCTCATTCGATTTTGTTACTACTGCAACAGTGATTTTGAATGAAATTCACGACTGAAATTAAAAACTGTATTGTATGTTCACAAACCAAAACAACAGCGCCTTTTAAGATGGGTTCCTGAGAACTGTTTAACAGAAAGACAGACCCTAAATATTCATTTACCTCCATTCCCAGAATCTGCCAGATTTATTACACAATGACAGGACCAAGTCCAATATAACTCAGGATCTGAATATTTAAGCTCACATCTATGCAACTTACCTCACCCACCACTTCCAGAGCAGCCCATGCCTGGGGCAGCCCAAGAGTAGATTAGCGGTGTTTTTCCTTATCCCAATTTAGGTCACTGTAAGGTTAGTGTTGCGCAATATATGACTCTAAGTTTCAGTACTGTCTCCTTTGGTTTCTCGTATGCTCAACTGGAGCTTATGGTGGGGCACATGATATTATAAGCAGTAATACTTTCAGAGTATCCTCCTACCCAAGCTTTCTGCAAAACAGTTATTTCTGCAGTACACTGTGCAACCTCCTTAAAATGAAGCTCAGAAGTTGAGTCTCTTAGAGATTTTCTATCTCAGGTAAATTCTGCATGGCAGACTTGGGTGAATAGGATGCTCTTTGCTGAAGTTTCCTCTTACCAAGAGATAGGACAGGAAGAGTCAAAGCGGTGGGCATTTTGATGACTGCTCCCCTCATTTGTAGCAGTGTATCTTCAGCACAAGACCTCCCTCTTATTATTCCTAGTGTTTTCCTGCAAGTGCAGAATCTGATTTTTCTAATTTTGGCTCAACTAGCTACAGGAATTGACTGACCGGCTTGTCATCATGGGCTAAGAGAGAGTGACTGGCCCAAAGTCATCCAGCTGGCTTTCATGAGACTAGAACTCACTGTCTCCTGGTTTGTAGCCCAATGCCTTGACCACTAGCCTAAACTGGCTCTCATTGTCCTCCCTCTTATATTTTCCAAGAAATGGTTCTGGAGGGCCAGGGTAATTAAGTAACTAGAAAAATATTTCTGCCATTATACTTTAGTTAATGTTTATTTTATATTATTTGTCGCATTAATTTTGCACTTGATTTTGATTACACCGCTTCTTGAGTAAGATAGTTTACAGTATACACTATATAAATAAAAGAAATAAAATGTAATTGAACAAAACAGCAACAAAGTGAATTTACACTTAAATTTTAGTCATTTTCTTGGTAAAATTGATTACATGTCTACAATTTCTGGTTACAGTTATTGGAATATACATTTATAAATTTCCACATTTATACATATATTTTTTTGAATGAAAGTGATTTCCGTTTGCTTGATATAGTCAGACATTTGCAATGTTTGTATGCAGCTCATTTTCACGACTTGGCATTTTCTTTATTGTTCTCCCTTCATTTCCAGTGAAATGGAAACGTTTCAGAATCAAGCTTGTCCATTCATTAAAACATACTACATACAATACTATGTTAGACATGCACACGCACACGCACACACATATACACCAAGTAATAAGAGTAGCAAGGTTTTACCCAATTTTTTCAGTTTTCCAGAGAATGGAGAGAAAAATGAAAAGAATAGTGAAGCAAGTAAATATTTAGGCATAAAAGCTAGAGGTTCAGTTATTGTCATTAGTCATAGGATTCTGAATCACTTTTGTGTTTACTTGTACAGAATTATTATTGTTGTGTTTTTATCCCATCTTCTTTTTAAAAAAAATATGTTCTAACTATGAGATTAGGCAAACAAGGATGTCTTTACTTCCAAACTTGATTGAGTGACAGGGTGACATATGAAGTAGGAAAAGCATAACTTGTAAATGATAGTAGTAACTGGGGCAAGGAGAGTTTTCTTAGCAATTACTGAAGTATTAATATACTTGTGATTGTATCTTTTACTTAGTTTTCAGATATGCCATGATTCTCAGGTAATAGACTTGACATTCTGTCCTGCGTTACCTCACAAACTCATCACAATAAGGAATGCTTCAATATTTTCAGTGTTATTAATTTTTTGT